ATCTCAACTCTCTGTATCACTGTATACCTGAATATGGTGAATAGGATTTTCAGAAACCCTCGGCAGACGTATACCCATATATATATAGAGTTATACCAAAACCCTAAATTAATTAAAGCCCTAACTAAATCCTAACCGGCCCATAGAACTTAATTAAAACCTGTGTCGGCTAAAGAAACTAAACCCTAAATTATGAAAATTAGTTAATTAAAATACTTCCTAAATTACTTCCTAAATTAAAACCTTTAATAATCAATTCAATTAAAGAAAATGATAAAGTCCAATCTAACGTAATACAGAAAATAAAATACAATGTAATAATTACTTAATTCACAAAATCACTATTAAACAACAAGTCATCAATTATTGCAAATAAAAACACCAATCAACAAGTTAAACAATTTAAAATTCATACAATACAACTAAGTCAAGTAAGTCAAATAATTAAAAAGTCAATTAAAACATAAATTAAGTACCAGGACTATCCTTTTGAAATTAGGGGTATTACAGGATACTTGTTCTTGATAGTGGCACGATTCAACTTCCGATAATCGATGCACAACCTCAAAGAACCATCTTTCTTCTTAGCAAACAAGACCGGTGCGCCCCATTGTGACACACTCGGTCGGATGAAACCTTTTATCCTCAAATCATCAAGCTGTCTTTTTAATTCCTCCAATTCAACTGGTGCCATACGATATGGTGCCATAGAAATCGGCGCGGTACCTGGCATTAACTCAATAGAGAACTCCACTTCTCGGTGTGGAGGCCAACTCTGTCAAATCCTACACATCCAGAAAATCACGAACAACTGCAGGATAATATTCTTCCACAACATCATCCTCTTCGGCTATAAGGCTAGTCAAAAAGTAATCACCATGACTCCGTCCACAAATTCCATAAAACGATGAAATGGGGGAATCACTCCGATCTCCCACGAAAAAGAAACAGCCTCCCTCGGGAGTACAAACTGTAACCCTTCCTCTGAAACAGTCAATCGTGGCATGAAAAGAAGCTAACCAATCCATCCCGAGAATGACATCAAAGCTAGTCATCTCTAGGAGGATAAGGTCAAACACAAAAGTCCGCCCGGCTATCACAATGGTACAGTCCCTCACGACTGGGCTCAAAGACACTGAAACTCCAACTGGTGTATTAACACACAACGCCCAATCCATAAAACTAACCTCTAACCCCGATGCAAGTGCAAATGATGATGAAATGAAAAAATGAGATGCACTAGAATCAAACAAAACACGGGCCCAAGAACCAAACACTGGAAATATACCTCGGAGAACTGAAGATCCAGGAGATGCATCAGTCGGTGCAAGGGCAAAGACACGCCCCTGCGGTGCCTGTGCCTGTGAACTACTAATCTGAACACCAGACTGTTGTGCCGACATAGCAGGAGTATCCCTCCTTGCTGGTCGTGAATCCTGAGAAGACAAGGTAGGCTGTGGTGGTGGCGGTGGTCTGAAACCTGATTGAACCGTAGCCGACTGTGACGGCCTCTGCCGTGACCCTCTGCCACTAGTGGTGCCTGCTCCCTGACTCGGACAGTCCCGAATCTAATGGCCCTGCTGGTCACACCCATAACAAGCCTTCGGAGCCGAAGAAACTGAAGTCAATCTCATAGGACAACTGGACTTGTAATGCCCAGGCTGCTGACATTGATAACAAACAACTCCACCCTTATCAGATCCAACTGGCATAGGAGTGGTAGGAACAGATCGTGTAGATTGTTGCCCCTGAAACTGAAATGAACCACCTTTGTTCTTCTTCCAAGAAGATTCTTCTGAGGATGGCCCTGCACCCCTCTTCTGCTTCCACTGTTCCCTTCTCGCATCCTTATCTCTGTTATCCGCTTCTAACATTAAAGCCCTTTCCACTGCTTCAGAATATACCTTGATGAACTGTGCCATGATCAACGGCCTCATCCGATCATTAAGACCAAAAACAAACTTCCGAGTCTTGTTAACTTCATCTCTCACCATTTCTGGAGCAAAGCGAGAAAGTGAAGTGAACTTGCTTTCATATTCTGCCCCTGACATGCTCCCTTGGATAAGGTTATGAAACTGGTCTTATAACTCCCATCTTTTGGAAAGCGGAAAGTACTTTTCATAAAATAATTCCTTAAACTTGTCCCAACTCATCTCCTCCACCTTGTACCGGCTCATAACCGACTTCCACCATAATTTGGCATCCTTAGCAAACTTATAAGTAGCTAGGATGATCTTCAAATGATCCTCCGTCACATCCATTGAAATCAATTGAGTTTCAACTTGCTCCATGTAGTTATCTGCTATCATTGGATCCGCACTGCCCTCAAACATAACCGGCATCAGCTGAGAAAACCCCTTAATAATCTTGAGACGCTTCTGAGCTGGCGTCTCCTCAACTTGAACTGTAGGTTGTAGTACCGACTGCGACTGAGCAGCAATCGTTGCCCTCACGATATTTTGCAACAAACGATTCTAACTCCAGTGCCACAGAACCTTCACCCACTTCTACAGGTGCTTCAACATTATCCCTCCTTGTGGGGACAACTCTCGGGGGAATCAAGTCCCTAAGAAGTGTGTCCTCATCATTTAGCTCCTCCGGATTAGAGCTGGAGCTCTCGCCAACATCACCCCTAGTCGGTCTAGGGCCAACTTCCCTGATTTCCTCACGCCGTGACATCGTTCTATAAAACAAAGGAAACAATTCAATAACGATAACACTAAGGTCCACCCGTGAACAACCCAACGCAAAAAGATACTGTACAAACATTTAGCATGTAATATTATGCAATGAACACATTAATATAGGCATATAAGCATATAAGCACATAAGCACGTAAGCAAGTAAGCAGTTAAGCATGCTTTTTCAAATAGCAAAACACTTTTCCAAACAAGGAAATAACAATGAAAATGACTTCCTAGATAACCCTAGGTAAGCCTTTACCCGTCGTCCTAATGGTATTCGAACCATCGCTCTGATACCAAATTTGTAACGACCCTAGCTGATGCCAAAATTTTAAAAAAAAATCGGCAGAACTTCTCCTAAAAATGGGCTTTCAACAACCTGTCCCAATACACAAAACACATAAAATCATCCAGCACCCCATTCATCCGTTCATTATACCTCAACATAGTTCCTCTCATGGTGGAACATCCACACACCAATTAATCTAAATTAACATAATTACAGTCCCAAAATACATGGTTAAGATTTAAAGCCCCTGTCTTACAACGTTACATGATACAATTGCATGGAAACATATACCATAATTCCATTAGTTTCATTTACATTAAACAAAAGATAAGTTCGTTCTTAAGTTACAAGGCCATGAATACTAACTTAGTTACATCCCCACAACTATGAATATACATAAAACGGTCAAAATACAAAATAACAAACAACCTTCTAACAACTTTCAAGCTTGAGGTGGATTGTCGTCCACCGGTTCATTTCCAAGACCTGAAAAAAATAATATAAATAGTAGGGTGAGCATAAAGCTCAGTAGGTGACACTTAAGACACAATTCTTGTGTCCTTGTGAATCCAAACAAAGCATAGGCCAATGGGAAATAGGGATCATGCAATATAGGAAATTAAAACAATATGCACGTCAATTCCAATTATAAACCATGCAGTGCAATGAAATGCAATGCATGCTAATGTCACTCCCCATTTTCATTCACAAAACCAACACTTTCAAATGTTAATACAGCCCGCCCTTTGGTAACCCCGCCGCGACACGAGAGGAGGATTGGCTATCGTCCCTAGACCTTTGGTAACCCCGCAGTGTCATCGAGGGGCCCGAATAGCTCAACCACGCTAGGGCGACTCCCTAGTCCCCTTTAGGCTATATTAACCTCCGGCCCGTTGGTAACCCCGCAGCGACCGGGTTTATCAAAACTATTTGACAAAACTCTTCTCCCAAAATTTCACCCATTTTCATTTCAAGACAAATTCTCCCATTTCATGCATCCCAATGATATGTGCATGGATGTACATATAATCTCAATATTATGACAATGGAAAATTTGGCACAATCTAAATAAACATGTTCTCATTTGTCATTTTCAACATGTTAACACATAGTGGGCATGATAAAACAACATCTAAACATATTTTACACATGAAACAAGTCATAATCAAGTCTTGAAAATTCTCTAGACATCATTCATACAATCATAGATACAATTAACTTCCAATTAAACATGTTTGACACAACAAGGAGGTGTAATTCACAATAGAACAAGAAAGGAGTGGATTAAGATGCCCCTACCTCAAAATGAGCAAAATCCCTAGAAATGGGTTCTTAAATTCGAGCTCCCAAAGAGGACCAAAAGTTGGAATTTCTGGTACTAGCACGTAGAGCTCGTCGTTTTGCCTTAAACGGCTCTCAAATCTACCAAGGATTGAGAGAGCAATCAAGATTTGAAGTTGTAAAAGAAAAAAAAAATAAAAATAAAAATAAAGAGGAACACAGAGGCTGCAGGAGAGAAAAAAACAGAGAACAAGAAAAAATGAAGAAAAAAAACGTAGTCTTATGACCACTTTACAAAAGTTGTGGGTCCCATCTTCTTCTTCTTTTTTTTTTTTTTTTTTTTTTTTTTTTTTTTTTTTTTTTCTTTATAACTCACCGACATTACATTAATCCTAAAATTTTTATTCATAATTGAAAAGACAAGATTACCCTGCAAATGTAAAATTACTTTTGTAATATTTTTTCGTAAGGTAGATGTGTTTTCTCAAAGGATAATTAAGTCATTTTATCTTATAGTAGAAAAATAATTTAAAGTTTAGAGGAATTGAGTAGAATGACGTCAGAAGGCTACAGTATATATTACGTAGGAAACAATGAATCTAGCATTATTCAGGTGCGCGCTTCAAAAATACTGAGTACGTAGACTACTTACTAGTGACTTTTTTTCCTTTTTATGTATCTTAGTTTGCTCCTCCTACAAATATAGCCATACCAAACTCCTCCATCATTCCACGCTCAAAACCTCACTCTCTATCTTTTGCTGTAATATTTTTAGTTTACCACTAATTTTGATACCTATATATATATATAAGGAAGATGAAGGTTGAAGGAGAAGAGAAAAGGTATGGGCTGTTACTTGCAAAAAAGGAAGACGAGTATGTGAAGGAGATGTATGGTGGATACTTCAATGTGTTTGTAACAGCCTTTGGTGACGATGGGGAGAGATGGGACTTGTTTAGGGTTGTTGAAGGACAATTTCCGGACACGAACGATCTTCAAAACTATGATGGCTTTGTCATCAGTGGAAGCCCTTTTGATGCTTATGGCAACCAAGACTGGATTCTCAATCTTTGCTCTCTCTTGCAAACCCTAGACTTGATGAACAAGAAAGTTCTTGGTATTTGCTTCGGTCATCAGGTAGCTTGGATTCCTAAAATTAATACATTTTTAATATTAATTTTTTCTTTCATAGGGTTGAGTGGTTCTGTTATATATATATATATATACAGGTTCTGTGCAGAGCTTTGGGTGGAAAAGTACGAAAATCTTGTACTGGTTGGGATATTGGGATAAGAAAAGTGAAGATAATGAAAGATAAATCGCCATGCATCAGCTTTCTTGATGGCTTGGATGAAAATCTATCAGCCCTTTCCATCATTGAATGCCACCAAGATGAGGTATATCTATAGATACATATATTCATTTAATTTGTACAATTATTACTAGATAAAATTAGGATATCGATATCAAGCAACGTATTTCAAATAAACCAATAAATGTAACAGGTGTGGCAGCTTCCTGTTCGAGCTGAAGTAATTGCTTGCTCGGATAAAACGAATGGGGAGATGTTCATCATTGGGGACCATATTTTAGGGATTCAGGGTCATCCCGAGTGCAACAAAGACATTCTCAACAATATCATTGCACTTTTTCTCATTAATGGCTCTATAGAGGTAATTAAATTCCATTTAGTATGTCTCATTCACTCAATTATTTTCGTTAATTTTTCATTCTTTTCATATAAACTAAATTTCAGTTAATTACCTGATAAAGCAGAAAGATTTTGCTGAAGAGGTGAAATCAAAACTGGAGATAGTTGAGCCAGATAGGAAGTGCTGGGAAAGGATATGCAAAAGCTTTCTCAAAGGGTAGATAGGAACTAATGGGATCATCATGACCCTTTTTTCCTATTGCTTTTTATTTTTATTTATTTATTTATTTATTTTTTTATTAATTGCTTTAACGTGCAATTAGATTTCTGAAGAAAATATATTCACACAAAAATTTCTTTCATTTTTTTTGCATTATATTTTCTTACAAACTGTTACTGTTATCAAACCAGAAGCTTTAGTAACAACAGTTCACACATTCATATTGCAATATATATACTTAAACAAGACAATTCTCACAGAGAGACTTTGCACATTACATATTTATGGAAGTACTTTTCAGGAACCATCTCCTTCAATTCGTATGATTACAAACAAAAATTCGATCAAACCAAAGACTTGTTTCTGAGCAAGTACGGAACTTTGAGTTCAGAGTCTAAAACTGGGAAGACTCGTCAAACAATTGGATTTCCTTGACTGGAAGCAAGATGTGCAACACATGCGCAGTGCATCCCTATGACCAAATACATTGAAGTAAACAAGTGCCGATCTATTCTGTCATGTACAACTGTAGTATGTATACAAACAACACAAGCATGCCAATTCCTGAAGCACCAAAAAAATAAGTCCTCAGGCTTTTGCAGCGTTCTTTGTCAACTAAGATTTCATTTATGCATCTTTTTTCTTCAACCTTGCATTTTTAGGCCCAAATTGCTGCTTCAGAGTGGGCTTTACTAGCAGCAAGCGGGACATTACATAGGCTAAGAGTTCTTCGCGGTGAGAGAATGTGAAATCTAAGTGGGCATATTCAAACTCGTTGTATGATACTTCCACACCAGAATCTCTCATCAACTTATAGTGCTTTCTTACCATTGATGGGCGGATTACCTTGTCCTTCTGCCCAGCAACAAGATCGATAGGAACATCAATAAGTCCATAATATTCCCCCAAATCCAATGGTTCAGTAGAACCATAAACGTCCATGTTGGCAGCGGCACTCCCATAATCAAACATTATAAATTTTCCAGCACGCTTCATCTGTGCCAGGTGAAGAGCCACATGAAATGAAACCCCCGGCATGTCATTCATATTATAGTGTGGTAACCCTAGCACTCCAACCCAGTTTGAGCTGTCCCCCCCAACAAAATAACTCATTAATGTTTGAACCAGTCCTCCCACAGCGGGGTAGTTATGGAAGTCCCTTGCCAACTTGTTCAGGAGCATACGAAAAAATCTGGTTGGTATATAGAATCCAGGAAAAAGAGGTGCCAAGATAGGAGCTAGCCAAAGAAATAAGTACTCTACCACAGTAAATGCAAAGGAGGAGTCATCGTGGAAGCCTGCAGGTGATAATAGGATCAACCTTGAGAGCCTATGGGGCTTTTCTTCAATCCGCTGGGTTATGACGTACATCAAAATGGCAGCTCCACCCAAGCTGTGGCAAATTGCGCAAAGTTTGTAAGGTTGATCATTACTGATTTCTTCCTCAAGATCAGATTGGCTAGACTTTAGTTCAGAAGTTTTTACTTCGTGAATCTTCTCTATAATAGCTGGTATATCCTCACTTCCATGCTCATTGATAGAGTAACGCCAGTACCTGAATTGGGTTACTACATTTAGATACTGAGTTGACAAAACTGCAGTTCAAAGTGTAACCATTTTACAACTCATAATTTAGTAAGAAATAATGGAAGAACCCCCATTTCAACTTCTAAGATTCAAAATGAATACAAGGTTTGGTCCAATAAAATAAGCAACTAACAGCTTCCAGACAGAAACTTACTGCCGTGAGGACATATTCTTGTCAATGTGTTCCCTTGAAACCAAACCACGTAAGTTCCCCAAAAAAACATCGTACCCTAAAAAGGGGGGGGGAAGTAAAGCATCATTACAATTTTATTTTGTAGTAATTTATGCAGGAAACTGCAAGTACTCTCAAGGAGAAATATGACAAACCTTGATCAAAGGCTGCAAAAGCTGGGGAACCAACAATTCCATTAGACACCCAACTGGAGAACAAAATGCACAGGTAAGGGAAGAAAAAATATTTGATAGATATGTAATACAACATATAAGAATTCCAACAGAAAATAGGAATAGAGGAAAAATAAGAAGGCAAGAACAACTACTGATAAGGTGGATCAATAACAATTAGAAAAAGAGAAACAGCCTTTGAGAAAGAGCAGGATGTCTGGTGATGAACTGCAAACATAAACTTCCAAATTGATGGGATCCATAAGAAACTAAAAGAAAACAAGCTAACATAAAAAAGAGATGAACTTTAGAGATTGGGGCCCACTATGAACCTTGTATTGTCAAGTGTGGGCCTTAGTCCTGTCCTATCTAACTTTTGTTTTAGGTTAAGACGATATGGTCAGTTTTTTTATTCAGTTTCTCAAACCTTTATTTTTTTACCAACAAAGCCTTGGCTTGAGTGGTATGTCCTCCACCTCCCCAAAAAAGGGGAGGTTGAGGGTGTAAGCCCCAATGTACAAGTGTATGACAGTATATTTACCTATCGGAGGGGAAACAAAGGTTCTGAACTATTTATTTTATTTTATTTTCTCAAGCCCGTGTAGGATTGTGTAACACAATTTCAACCATAGGTCTGGTAACCAAAAAATTCTTGGTGTTTCTTCTTCTTCTTTCTTTTTTACTTCAATTTTCTTATTCTTCAGGCCTTTAGAGCCCATAAACGTATCTGGTTAATGCCTTAAGATCATATTTCACAACCCATTGCCTTTTTTACTCAACCTAGCATCCAAAATCAACACTAGCAGCCACTAGTTACCATTCAATAATACTGTTCACATATCCATAACAGCCTAAAACTTTGCCTCACCTTGCTTTATTAGAACCACAAAGCCATAAGCCCTTTTTGTAACTTATTACAGACCCTATTAACTCCATATATCCACTAGCCTTTAGCCATGAAAAACTAATTGTAATCAGCCCTAAACACCCTTCATCAGTTTCAGTAGCAAAGCTATGGAAGGGTGCACCCGGATCTTGTCCTATGTCACAAATAGTAACTCCATGGATTCAAGCTGACTCCACCAAACCCTCTCGAAGTATTTATATTAAACATGTAAAGGAAGAAAAAACTAATGAATTCGGGAATATTTAATCTACTTTATATAAATCAACCAAACCCCTTGTTGATGATAAAAGGGAATTCACTCCTGAACAAAAACTTAAAAAACTTGACCTCATTCAGATAAAGGCAGTGTTTTGACAATCAACGTAACAAATAGGAGGATTTCGGCTTCTTAATGCTTAACAAAATGAAGCCTTTTCCACAAGGCTAAACAAGGGCCAAGAACAAAATATCAACAATAATTTAGATCTAGGTTAGCCCCTGGGTGACAACAACACAATTTAGAATAATAATATATAACTCACAAAGAAGGGAAAAAAATAACTCACCCCATAGATGAATCCATAATTCCATGTTGTAGATAGACAACCTTCCGCGTATCGCGTCTGCAACATCATATTGTAGGCATCAAGCACAAACTATAAGAAGTACCATGGCAAACCAAAAATGGTGTTTCCAAATAAAAAATATATATATTCAGACCTTGGAATTCTTTCCAGCAAGAGAACATAACCGTCGGCAGTAGTCACACGAATGGCTTCATATGGGTACCTAAAACATGCAGGAAGTAAGAAACTTCGACCACATGCAGAATGCCAGAATCAAATATGAAATTTAATGCAATGGCTCAGCTTTGTGCATGTCTATGTTTAGAAGTGACAAAAATACAGTTTAGGGTCAGGAATCACAGAGGAATAATAACCAAGAACCAGTAAGACACTAGACGAGGATGACTTTTAAATAGAACAAACAGAACCAGACAATGTGGCTTGTTTGATTTTCAGCTAAATTTCAGAACTTGTTGGCCTTTGGTTTAAAATAAAAGCAAACTAAACCAAATAAACAAAACTACACAAGCATCAACCATGAAAAGCAAAAAAACTAAAAAAAAAATATACTGAGAGTAGAATTGTATGAAAATAACCCCCTCGGGTTAGAGTTGAGTTGGCATATGCCTGCGGCCTTATGTTCAATTACTGGGAGCGTCAAAAACCTCGTCCCTAGATTTACTGGATACTCATGGTTTAGGATTGATTGTGGTATCCAAAGACAACAGTCCTGATCCTGAAGGGGATGGGGCCACCGGGCACCCTCCGTCATCCCCAAAAATAAATAAATAATCTGTAGATAGATGCTTCAAAAATATTGTCGCAATAAAAAAAAAAAAGAATACAGAAATTTTATCGACCCTGAAATGAATCCTAATCAACACACAATTCTTATCATTTAGAATTATGACTCTGTGGGTGGAAGGGGTGGGGGAGAATGTGGTAAGCCAAGCACATGGATACAACGTTGTGATGTGGCAAATCTTTAAAAAAAAAAAAAAAAAAAAAAACAGACACCGCAGGTCCACAAGAATACATAAAAAATAATAATATAATATATCATTATATATACAAAAAAATTATTTTTTGCTCATTTTATGTACATTATCATCAATATAATCACCAATTTACAGCTTAGAGCTAGGATGGTGTTGCTTTGCTTTCTAAAACTATATCATTATTTTAATTAACCCATAATATGTTTTAAAATTACATTACAACACTTTTAACCCTGTTGTGTCTTCAAAGTGTCCCAAAAGTATCCTCGCAGTGTCAACGCCATGTCCCACGAAGAGAAAAATATTCAAATTCTAGGACACTTCTAACCATTTTCAACATGCGCCGACTGTGTCCCACACATGACATGACTGCAGTACCCCTAAAGGAGTGTCTGTGGTTTCTAAGTGGCAGGTAGTCTTTTTCTCTACTAGACATTCGGTTCCTTCAATATGAGAATTCACGGCATTTCTGAAATCCTTGAAAGAAAAAATGATCATTACTCTCTCTCTCTAAGCGTGGGGGAGCAAACAATTTGTTCGGTCATGCTTTCTATATATAACAAGGAGTAGAAGTCTCACACAGAGTGAAACATGAAAATAGAAGGTTGAACCACAGGCTCCCATTTGCACATTCCTGTTTTCTCCTATGTTGTATCGATTCCGATTCCAGGATCAGATTGAGATTAGCATGATTCTATAAAATAAGAAAGATTATACTTAAAAATATTTGTGAATTAAAAAAAAAAATTTAAAAATAAAAAAGAAAAAATAAACTTAAAATTCATGGGGAAAAAATTAAAAGAATTAAGACAAGTATTAAACACATAAACCTCCAAAAGCTCTCCCAAATATTGTGGAGCACATTATCCCTCACATAAAATAAACAAAATCAGTATAAAAAATGTTTAACTTATGGAAACTTATTATGATAGCACATCACAATATTAAATGTAAAATATTAAAAAAAAAAAAAAAATTCTTATTAATCGTCATTTTTTAATTATACACAATATAAACTTTCAACTTTCATATGCAAAATATTCTATTTTAATATACTCGATGTACTTGTCCAAGGACACTATAAGTACTAACATAGAGAGAAAAAAAAGACAGAAAGAAGTGCTAAAGAGTCGATGGAGATTGAACTCAATGGGTTGAAGTATCATTTTTAAAGCAAAATTTTGTCCACTTTATTTGTTACATATCAGAGCAAAAAAATTGACAGATAAATAAAAAAAAAAATTAGAAGGAAAGAAAAGTGGAACTCATACTAGTTAAAAACAAAATAAAAAATAAATAAAAATTGAGGAATCAAGAAACTTAAATAAGTTGTTTCCATAGTTGACTAATATTGTAGAGTCAGAATGAGAAGAAACATTGAAATGATTGTCATATCTAAGACATTTAAGTTCGGTCTTAAATTTCATTCATAATATTTTATATAATCTTTCGTCCTAATTATAAAAAAGGAACAAAATAGGAAATTTTAACTTCTATGCTTTTGGTCCATTATAAACTTGCAACACAGGAAAAAGCTTTATCACTGAGGGGGAAACAGCCAATTTGTCATTGAAAAAAAAAAAAAAAAAAAAGAGAGAGAAAAAAAAAGAAAGAAAAATACCCAGATTTTGTATTTGTAGACAAGTAGAGATCTATAACCACCAAATATTTATGGTGCTGCACTGAGCTTTCCAGCTGGTAAACCTAATTCAACCAATCACAGATTGACTTGTTCAAAAAACAGGGGTTATTTTTTTTTCCTAAAAAACACTGGACAATTTCCATTATCCCTATGAAGGTAGGGAGGATAGCTTTTAACATATCCAAATGTACAAGTGTTTAATATATCTATAATCTATGTATGTATTTAGAGATACTGATGTAGAATGGGTAGTGAACTCTTGTACCAACTGATGTAGGATGGGTAGTGTGAGTGATGTAGAATCAGAAGAAAGGAGAGTAAGAAGAAGAGAGAAAAGAGAAGGGGAAGAATAGATGAGAAAAGAAGAAATTAAGGGGAGAAGTATGTCTGAAATCACAATTCAATATTCAATATTCATAAAAGGTGATCAATACAATACATATGCCTATGTATATATAGGCAATACAAAGAACCTTAAGGTCCACAATAGCTGCTGCAAACATACAGATTCAAAAATGGCTGCCATGCTAGTGAAACATATAGCCTGCTTATGTTTGTAGCTGTAACCAAGCTGCAGACTTATTCATAGGCGAACTTAGTCCTAATACTAATTAAAATAAATATTGCAAAGCTAACTCTTATTTATTATAATTCTTAAAATATATAGGAAAACTATCAAATCTATCTGTCCTTGCCCATTTTCCAAACATAGGTGAGAGTCGTGTGCAATTCATGTGTTGGAGCCATGTCCTGAACTCCATCAGATACAGATATGTGTAAATTTGTGCTCAAATAGATATAAAAGCATGTGTTTCTATGAAAAATACTCTTTGAGTATTTGTATGAAATGTGGCTGAAAGGGTAAGCAGAATGAAATTATCAAATATAAAGCCCTTACCCAAGCTCTGTTATGACATCCCTACATGTCCGAGCATCTGTATTCAGAGACTGATGAAAAGAAGTATTCCTTTCTGTAGGAGTTGGATCATTCTCTCCAAGAGTAGCTGCAGGGACAGAGTCAGTCGAACTGCCAGCAGGAACATCTTCAGTACTGCTGCTATGAGAAAAGAACCACGTTGATAGTGTCCTGAAAGCATCTGATGGCGAAAGAAGACAATGTGCTGCCTTGTGAACAACATCAAATATAACTTCTATGATGATCTCAATAGCCAGATGGAGATCCTGGTTAACACAAAATTCATGAGTAAGGTAAGAAAGTAATGTCTATAGATGTTTACACGGTACAAAAGGGGAGGGGCAGAGAGAATAATTTAATACACAAAATCCCGGGATTATATGATTCCAGAACGGCAGAAATTGTAGGAAAAATACCTCTATGACTCCACGCCTCTTGTCAGTGGCGCGTTGAACATGATGGTCCTTCAGGACATGTGCTTTCTTCATAGAACGTAAATTTGAAGGCTGGCTAATTGTGGTACTAGGGACTTTTGACCACCTAGAGTAAGATGTGCGACAAATATAGAATGGTATCTTAAGAAGGAATTTTGCTGGAAGCAGAATCCATGAGAATATGCATCTGAAGAAACCTGTCCTACGTCTATCGTACTTGAAGAAACTGCTTGCCCTGGAGACTCGTGAACTTTGGGACAATGGAGATGCCAGATGTATGTTCTCATCACTGTCTTCTCCAGATGAGTAATCTACGCTTGATGAAGTATCAGAATCCACAGACAACTCATGGATGAACTGATTAAAAGACGATACACCACTATCATCATCAAGAAAAAGCAAATAAGTCAACAATTGGAATTGTGTTACAAGCAAGACATACTAAGAAGAAACTTCTATACTTTTAATAGTTATCAGACAAAAAGGAAATACATATTTGAGTGTTTTTTTATATCCATGCTTTAAGTGAAGGTTTATCTATATCTGCCATGAAGGGAAGGGAGTCTTCTCTAATAGTTAAGCAAATGTATAACTTGAACGTACAAAGAAGAAAAAAAAAATTACAAGAGAACAAAAACTCTCATAAAAAATCTTAAGCCACCATACAACGGAAGAAATGGTTGAGATAAATAAATAAAGCAGGCACTGACAAAAGATGAGCATAAAGAAAGCAGGCACCAACAAGAGATAAGTATAAAGTTCATCCCGTTAACTAGGAGCATTGCCAAAAAAAAAACTGAGATACCTATTGGTTTAAGGGAAGGGTTTAAGAGAGTATTAGAAGAGATCCAAGAAATTCTTCTTGTTCTTGAAACTATTCCAATAATCTTTCAATGATTAGCCACTTATGTCAAGGGCTAAAAAAAGATAAGAGAGTCCTTGTAAAGTGAGTATAAGTCAGTTTCTAAAATGTCTGCACGTATTTCTTGCTCTTTCCAGACTAGAACAAACAACCACATAAAACTTCCAATCATCTCTTTGGGAATATATGATACTTCTCTTCCCAGCTCTGTTCATCGTCTGTCTCCTGTGATAAATTTTTCATTAACAATGAAGGAGTTTGGTCCATCATAGACTCCACTTTGCACTAAACGAAATACTACTCGTGACAAGTTCCTTATCACAGTGTATGCTGCTTTAATTCCTCAACAGTTCACTTCACTCTCCTGATTTTCGGTAGCTACAGTATGGTTCTTCTAACAATTCATTTCCGTTCTTTCACTGATAATTTCTATTAAGAATTCTAAAACTCAAATACCATCATGAAATATGTATCTTCTTGTTCAAACCCACAGTATATAGAATTTTCAAAATAAAACTGATGATCAATATTTTAGCATAAAGCTTTAAGGTTACTACTGTGTTTTGCCATTCAGGGAAAAAGTGGGAAATCATATTACAGTGTAACAGAACACAAACTTCCCCGTGATGCTATTTTCCTACAGTGAATGCTGGAGTGTCAATTTGAAAACCATTCAGTTTCCTTTTTTCAGATAATTTTGAAAACAAGAAAAAGATGAACAAAAAAAACACTGAAAACCTTATTGAATTGAAACAATCCCTTGAAAAAGGGAAGGGGGGAAAAAAGAAGCAACAAAACAAAAGCCAGAACAAAGAAAATTATTAAAACATGTACAATGAAATACGAAAAAAGAGAGAGGATGTTTTCGAGTTGGTCAACTCCAAGAACCTAACCTGAATCAAGCTAAATTCATGTAGCAAAAATAACATGTGATGTGATCCATAACAAGTTAAAATGAGAAGCAAATTTAAGGAAGAGAGAAACTTTAAAAGATGGTTTGATTTAAATTCATTAAATTCCTTTTTCTAAAAGTAACGAGAAGGAGAAAAAAAAAAAGTACCCAGCGGTAAACCTAGTAAAATAGAAATTCAATTGAAAGCTCTCATTAAAAAAATAAATAAAAAATAAAAAATGAATTAGTAGAGACTTAAAATATGCCTTGCAGTCGCCAAACTGAGTAGTAAGCCAACATTCTTAACTAAAATCAAGGGACACAGTGAGTAGGGTTACCTTGCTTACTACTAATATTTGATTATTTGTGATAGAACATATCAAGACGATCCTTATGCTAACGTTGGTGATGACAAGAATGTGTGCGAGTGTGAGTATTGCACAAGTCCTATCATGCTAACAAACAATGCAAGAAATTAAGGAATTGCCCAGGAAAATGTATAAAAATCAGCTAAATTAATTCATTCAGCTGTGTGGGATTGGAATAGAAGGGTTAGGTCTCCTAGCTCATCTTGTGATCCAACTCTGAGTCATCCTACAATATAGCAATAAAGGCAATAAAAGTCAGCAGCTTCCAAAAACCAAAAGCAGATCATTGCTGCCTGTAACGACTGCATTCCTTCTCCATCAAAAACACCATGAGGAAAAAACCAACCAATCAAAATTTGGGCATAAAAAATCACAAACATAGGATTCAAGATAACTTTACATGTTAGATGGTGTATTTTGTTTATTTTCCACTGTGTTCTTATTATTTCTAAATTTGTTCAATATCTTTAATATATATTTTATAACCATATATGCAGCATAGCTTCGTGAACTACCCAATACTGATCCAACATGGCACAACCAAGTTTCCCTGTACCCCCAAGAGAACAACCAATACCATGACTCTGAAAACAATTCTAGTGCCACCTTTGTTATGTCTTTTAAGTCCCTATCAAATCGGTAATAGTTGTCACTTCTATTGCTCAACAGATCTCCTAAGTCTGACTCCAATAGTCTTACCTATGAAAAGGATGAAAACCTGAAATACTTCATATGCTTAGAGACTCCTATCCCAACTTCCCATCTCCTAGGTCAGGTAATACCGGTCACTTCAATTTTGCCACAGATTTTCTTTTTGCCCCTTCTTATGTACCTCATACCCGGAAAACCACTTTCTTGGATTGCATGGTTAAATTTGGTGAGGTACATTTTTTTTTATTTAAAAAAAAAAAAAAGAAGAAGTAAGAGGACAATTATCATTAATAGGAAAAATGATGTAGGACAAGAATGGCAAGGAAGTCAAAATAGTGATGGAAGCAAATATCGACTGTGGGGTGTGGTAATATTGTGATAAATAGTATGGTAATAGTAGTAGAAATAATGTTAGTAATAAATGAGAATATGTGTGGGCTGTGTAGTAGTGTGATTTGTGTCTGGGTGTTGTAAGACTTAAGGTAGAATAAAAGTGAGGGTAGTAAATGAGGTATGACAAAAGAACAGGAAAAGGTAATGCATGTGTCGTATGTGGTTGTGTAATAGTTGTGGAGAACATATGGGCACATAACTATAAATGTGAAGGAGAAAATGAGTGGTGTCTTGGGTTTGTGAAGATATATATATATATAATATATCATATGTACGTGGTAAAAGAAAAATGAGGGCAGGTTGAAAAGTATGAGTCTGGAACACTATTCAAAGAAATAAATTGGTGAAGGAAAAACAGTACTATAGGCCTGAGATTTGAAAGGAAAATTGGTGGCATGGCAGACAAAAGGGAATTTGGTGGAAAAGTTTGAAGAATTGAGTTCGGCGCCCAACTTTGGAAATTGAAGGGAAGGAAAAAAGGCCTCATACATTTATTGTGTTGTCTGCTGTAATTCACTATAAAAGAAAGTGAGCTTGAAAAAAATTAAGGGAACCCATCTTGAAAATGAAAATTTGAGTATTTTATAACTCTTGTTGAGTTGAGAGCTTTTGCTCTAGTGATATGATTTCCGTGTGAGATTGTATTGTTCTATCATTTCGCTTCCGCTACATCAAAAAATCAGAAGAGACACTACAGCCTTGTTAAGCAGAGAGGGGGCAATGTTTGATGAAACCAAATTTCAGAGGGTCCCCAACGTCCGTCAGTAATTGAGAAGGGAAAAATCAAAGCCACCTCTGAAGACATCAAATGATCTTTCAAAGAAGATCCTCCAAGCAGGTGAGCTTCGAGGATTCTGGGAGGCAAAAGACTCAAGAGTCCCAATATACTGGAAATCCATTTAATCAATTTCGTATTTTACATGTAAAACAAGTCCTCAAGACTAGCCAATGTCATCAGGCATGGCTATACATTGTGTTAATTGTCAACATTAAGTACATTTATATTTGCAAAACTGCCATCTCCATAGCATATCAGTTATATAAAGCTCCAGACATTTGTTGTAGATTCTAGAAAGCTAGCTGATAATAAGGATTGAGAGATTGCAGCGTAATTTTCTGTGGGGGGGTAGAGGCGAAGAGTTTAAGTTTCATCTGGTTTGTTGGGATCAGGTGTGTAGGCCAATTCGTTTTGGTGGTTTGGGTCTTAGAAGGTTGGTGCCTTTCAATAAGGCTCTTCTTGGTAAATGGTTGTGGAGATTTGGGGTGGAGAGGCATTGGCTTTGGAGGAGGGTCGTTGCTTGTCGTTTTGGGGAGTCTAGAGGAGGGTGGTGTTCTCTGGAGGTGCGTGGCCCTCGGGGTGTGGGGGTTTGGAAAGTCATTCAGAAGGGATGGGATGAGTTTTCCAAACACGTTCGTTTTCGCATCAGGGATGGTAGGAGGATCAGTTTTTGGGAGGATGTGTGGTGTGGGGATTCTCCTCTCGCCATCTCTTTTCCTCATCTTTTTAGGATTGCTACGGATAGGCAGCCTATGGTGGTTAACTGTTATCATCTTCATAGTGGGACTCTTGTTTGGGATGTTCGATTCAGGCGGTTGTTTCAGTATTGGGAGATTGAGGAGGCCATTCGTTTTTTGGAGTTGTTGTATCGCCAGAGGATTGTGGATGGGATTTCTGATTATTGGTCCTGGGCTGCCACCTCTCATGGGCGCTTTGAGGTTAGATCCTTTTTCAGATGCCTCACGGATGATATTAGAGCTCGCTTCCCTTGGAAGGCTGTTTGGCGCTCTAAGGCTCCTCTCAAGGTGGGTTTTTTTTGCTTGGACTGCTGTTTTGGGAAGGATCTTAACCCTGGATAATTTGAGAAGGCGAAATCAGGTGGTGGTCAATCGTTGCTATTTGTGTCTTCGGGATGAGGAAACTGTGGATCACCTTCTCCTTCATTGCACCATGGTTAGAGATTGCTGGAATTTGATGTTTGGCTTGTTTAGGATTCTTTGGGTTATGCCTGGATCCGTTAGAGGGTTGATTGAGGCTTGGAGAGGTTACCATGTGGGGCCTCACATTCTGGATGCTTGGAGGGCTACGCCTCTTTGTGTGTGGTGGTGTATTTGGCTCAAGAGGAATAGAAGATATTTTGGTGGGAAAGAGTTGTCAATCTCTACTCTTAAATTCTCTATTATTTCCCCTTTTTTGTTGGGTTTCTGGGAGAGATCATAGATCTTTAGAGGAAATTGTCGATTTTTTGGCCTCTTTGAAGGCTTAAAGGTCCTTGGTGGCCTTGTGTATATCTTTAGGGCTTCATTCCCCTTTTGAGCGCTTTTATAAATTTTTCTTACTTATCAAAAAAAATAAAAAGGTATTACTGATAGACCCCAGGCCTCTACTACAAGCAACCTTCTTGTATCCAATACTGCACACCACCTCACTAAGAATCCCATCCGAGATAAAGCTTTATCACACTCCTATCTTTTATATTAAGCAATCTTTCTCGTGTATCTCTGGCTGACCTATACTTTGTCTATCTTATAAATTTTGTAAATACAAAATTTATGTTGAAATGGAAGCATCCTATAATTAAACAAAATCCTCACATGAAAAGACATAAATGAAGCTTTTAAGATGAAGTGCCACTATTCTTACCAGAGATAAGACTATTCACATTTATAACGCAATGATATACAAAAGAAAATCACATAGACGATTTTGTTATGATATCCAAAACTTACTTCTCCATCCAGCGTGGAAGTCGAGGTCCACGAAAAGTTGGCTTGAGTTCCCATCCATGAATACCTTCAAGAATATTAGTCTTCCCCGGCAAGATAGCCAACAAAAGTGCTGATACTCCATTTATCAGTCTCACAACATTGTTTAAAGACTCATAAGTGAATGTTTTCACTGACCTGAACCAATAGCCAAAACAAAAACAGAGAAACAAATGCTCAATAATTTTCTGAGTGTATGCATAGACAATCAAGAATCTGAATAATATAGTTATCCACAATTACAGATAGAAGCACAAACAGATCAATGCTTATCATAATTTGGGAAGGAATAGAAGAATGGATGAGAATTCATGAATCTGGGAAGGTATAGGTTCAAGTGACAAGATTGACTATCACTTTTGAAGCCAAAAAAGCCATAAAATCATTTTATTAGTTATAATAACACAGTAAAAGTCATGAAAAAGATGCAAGACTACAATGTTAACCTTATCGACGGAGTGACAAAGACAATCATGCTGCTTTGTCACTATTACAAAGAAAATCATGCTGCTTTGTCACTATTCTTCTGACAGTCTTCTGGTAAGTGGTCATCATATGACCAGCGTAGCCAATGCACATCTGTGCATAGCGCGATAATTGGTAGGAATAGAAAATTATGCCACTTTGACAACTACTCAAATCACACAAAGCCTCAAATCCCAACTACTTGGGAATGCAACATACTTCAATTAGATATACCAAGGGCGAATTCCTAAATTATTTAACAATATATCACGACGCTTCTTACTACCTCAACATATTTCCTTTTGGCCTTCTTGTAGCATCTCCAACTTAAAGCAAATCACTCCCCTTAAGAGTTTCCCTCATAGGTCTTCACTCTTATCGAGAGACCATGCTAAATGACTTCTCCTCATCAAAAATTATTACACAGTGCTGGTCCTACCTACACAAAATGCTTGGAGGGAAAGGCTAGAAATAGTTTTTTCCTTTTTTCTTTATGGGACCACCTCTAACTTTGCACAAATGCACTCATAGTGCCTAAATAAAAATAAGAATGTATCACAATGTATCTTACCACCTCAACATATTCCTTTTCAACCTTCTTGTCCATGAAGCATCTCCAACTTGAATCAATTCACTCCTACTAACAGTTGCCCTCATCAGTCTTCACCGTTATTTTGGGACCATCCTATAAGACTTCCCCTCATTAAAGGTTATAATCAGTGCTGGTCCTAACTCCTAACCATGCAAAATGTTAGGAGGAAAGGCTAGAGAAAGTGTATACATTTATTCTTTATAGAACCAACTCTAACTTTGTACTAATGTCGCTGTTATCTTTTCTTCTTTGTCACTCATCCATCTCACCATCATCATCTTGCCTTAACTTATTTCATGTACATTCTGATTTTTCACATCCTAACCAGCCATGTCATCTAATAGATGTTGGTAAAAGGCTTTTTTGAATTGAATCAAGTATGATCATCCAATAAGTGTTTTCTTTAAACTTTGTCTTTCAGAACAAGTATTATGCCACTTCTCAATCCATCTCTAATTATATACGCAATGTCTTTTACAATCTTCCCCTCAATGATGATCACAGATTTAAGATGATGAAAAAATCATTTGGGGAAAACTCTAGGTCATCCTTCTTTGCGAAAGTTAATTTACAACAAAAACTTGCTTTTGTCATGCTTGTCCTAAACCGCTTTTTTTTTTTTTTTTTTGTTGGATAAGTAAATCCTTAAAAATTTTGAAGTATTTCAATGTACTGCTACCTTTAAATAAATCCTGTTCAGACTTTGTCAGCCTTATTATATTGTGGGCAAAAGATATATACCATAGAATCTTCTTTTGAATATGTTTTCTTGGCTCATACATAATCAAGTATGTATATGTATATGTATATATATATATATATATAAAGGCTCAATATCAACCCTTATACTGAATAAGGCTTGAGTTCATCAAAACATGCCAATTCTTGTTTTGCTAAATTTAATAAAAGTGGAAAAAATTCTAGTTTTCATAAGTACCCTTGAGTTCTTGAAATATTCTCATCTAGAAGCTCTGTCCTTATGCTCTAAAGGAATCCAATTACATTATCCAGATCCATACAAATTTAAATCTTGATTAAGCAGCAATGTTCACATCACTGAGGAAACCAAGAAAATCAATACCTTACGCCTACACTACTAACCCAAACGCAATGGCATAAACTATTCTCATCTACATAGGACAGAGCAAGCAAACTTATCAATAATCTAGATAAGGAAAGAGTTCCAAAAAATTAAGCCAAGGCTGTTCACATCTTGCCATCATCCCTAACCATTGCAAAAAAGTCAAATACACTTCTTATTTTCCTTGTTCATAAAAAATATATTTTTTAATCAACTTATCCACAAATTTTCTCAGTACGCATTTTTGAAGGTCTGCTAAATGAATGTGAACCTTCCCTAGGCATTTCTTTACATTTGCAGATATGGGAGCAGATCAGAGATTTCAAGAATGATGTTATGATAAACTGAACACTGGAAGCCAGTGGATTTCCTACTTCTACCTGCCTACTTTAGTTGCAGCCTTATGGGGCAAATTCAATAACCAAAAAAAATCACATAATCCAAGGGGAAAGCAAAAACAATAGAGAGAGTAATAATAACATTTAGAAGAAGATTATTCAAGAGCAAACAAAGCGTACACACAACTTATACACTTCAGGGGGATGCGGGGATGCTCTCAATCACAATTTGTCATTCAAAATTCAACTTCATTCATTGAATAATCATGAACTGTTATACTAATCCATACAAAAAACACAGCTATTTGAGTAAGCAATACATAATCATAATCCTACATAATAAGATCCAAAATCTTTAAAACTAATACCTAACCTACTTAGAGGAGAGAGGGGGGCACAAAATCATATCATGCAACCCAACTGGGGCAATGTAAAGTATGTTACGAGTCAAATTACATAAGAACTCAGAAAAAAGGAATTTGTATATGTGGGTAAGAATCATCATAAATTAACGAACCACAAGCCAATGCAAAATCAGACCCTCCACAATCTCATAAACATCAACAAAATTTTTAATAAAAAAAATAAAATTTTCATCAAACAGATGGAATTCATCTGATATCATCATAAACCCATTAATTAAAGCACAAGCACATAGTTGCACACGTATATACACAAAAGCGGATATAAATATATATATATATAATATCTATATCTATATAGACTATATATGAATATTTATATTAAAAGAAAATGGATTGAAGACACACTCTTTGGTAACTGCGAGGACGTTGTCAACGAGTCGTTGCATTATTGGTATGTGAGGCTCTGCCGATAAAAACCCAGATCGAATTGGGAGCGAAAAAACAGAAAAATTCTAGAGAGGGAGCAGAAAGTGGGAATGAGAGAGAGCGAACGCAGCGGCGATTCCTGTCGTACCGACTAAGGCGGTTTTCTTGAGTGTTGTCCCCCACGTGGCGTGTTTTGATTGGGCACAACTGTATAAGGCGTGTATCAGCAACCAAGTACCCACGTGTCTATATATATATTTCATATATATCCGTGTTCATGTATCATAATTCATTTGTCAAAAGTAGACAAGAAGTGGTCCCACATGTATAAGATCTGAAATTAATTCCAGAAGATCTGAAAATATGATTGAGATAATATCTTTGCTATGCATCAAATTGACTGACAAGAATGCAAATGCAAATGAAACCACTTGATATTTCAATCATATAACATCGTCTATTTAAAATTTATTTTATTTAAAAAATAATTAAATATATTGCATTCTTGAAATAAATAAATATTACATTTTTGAAGTACAAGTACTTTATCTATTTCATAATCGAAATAATAAGTGTTGTATATTTATTGTATTATAAGATAATGATTTTTTTTTTTTTTTTTTGCATAGTTGACTTTCTATTTATTCTGATTACTTAATGTCACCAATTAACTGACAAGACATTTTTTATTATAACAAGTCTAACAACATGCATGGATGGCATATTTGTTGCCACAGACATTTTCCACTAAAGGGTAATTTACTGCATTCACAATTTTTTTTTTTTTTTTTTTTTTTTTTTTTTTTTTTCTCTACTACATTTACTCAACTCATGATAAAATGCAGCATCGTGTTTCTTTTTAAAGGTATAAAATGCAGCATCCTCTGGCCTAATCTCCGAATAGTATTATGTCACCCGAGCGATGAGGACAAAGATTTGATCAGGTAATCTTACTAAATGTATCGGGTTGAGTACAAATATAAGGTCAAATAGCATAGTACTACTATTTTGGTTCATAGTTTGATCACATGTTTGACTTTTTCTTGCTATATAGAGTGAAATTGAAGCTTCGACTTTGGACGGAGGAGGGAGGATAAATTCGAATCAAGAGTTCCAAATTTTATTTTTTAAAGAAAATAAGTTAAAAATGGAATCAATTACACTGAATCTATGACAGTCAAATGTAGGAATCGTCTCAAATTGACTCCCTTCAAGCCAAAAGCTCGTGAATTGTGTTTCCAACGTGCTCTCCAAAGAATGAATTTATTAATTCTTCTCGGTATCATCATTGATCCAGACTGCAATTTTACTGTTTACCTATTACACTCGTTACACTGGAGAAATATAATCTTCTTCATATCATATGGTGGCTCTAGCTCAGAGTCTCAGACCGTTGAATCTGTCGTGTTGTCGCTCATAGAATCTTTGGTGTTCTGGATGAATGCAAACTCGGAAACCAATGCCAAATGATCACTTCCAAAATTCTGCAAGTTAAAGGAAAGCACAAATGTTATTTGCCAGGACGGTGCCTGATGTTTGAGTGAAATATATGCATATAAGCAAGACGGTTAGCATAGGTAACAATCCATTAGAATTAGTGCAGTATATGATTTGACTTGATAAGGATCTTCATGCACACAATTCTTTAATCCTAGGTCGCATCAAATTGTGTCATACAGATGTCGACACAGATTAAGGTGTGAAAATACACTTCATGCAAAACACAAAAATACAAGCAAAATGAAAGCCGGGTTGAAAGGAAAGCACTGGTAATTTCAAAATATTTTAACCGGTGAAAGGATGGAGTTCAAAAAGTTTATCAAGACAATCTGAATATAGAAGGCATTTTTTACTGTAAAAATGCTTACCTTGGATCAATTATTCCACTGTTTGTGAATATTTTATGTAAAACAAAACTAAAACACTCTCTACGTAAAACCAAACCAACTACAACTCCCTAGTAAAAGAGTAGATGTTTTCATTTTCAATCTGTCCAGATAGACACTACTGGCACTGATCTAGAGGATGAGTATGCTGTGTAGACCCCTATGAGTTTGTTTAACTACTCGTTTTACAACAGGGGATTCAGAAGGAGATACCTAGACACTTGTTTATTTACAAATGGGCGGTATCATATGAGAGAAGGCTTTGTTGAGTTGAGTTGAATTGAGTCTGGGAGAAACAGAAAGCAAGAGACATATTTCCTTCCGCTATACTGTGATATTTCAACAAATTTTTAAGAGGATTGCTGCGAGTTTCATCAACTGATGTACCCTCATCATTTAGTCGAGCCCTTCAGAACCTTAATTAAGTTCCTCTTGGTTAAATCTCAGCTAGAATCTAGTTTTTGTTCCCAAGGAAAAACCTTCATGCTGCACAGTGCATTCTATGTTCATGTCACTACAAGGAAAAATTCATGATGTTTCGACTTAAACATCATCAGATAGTTGAACTGGAATCTGACCTTGCATGGAAGCCCACCTGTCTTGCGGAGGTCATCAATTGGAAGGGTATCCAAAACCCGTGTAGGCACAATACCATCCGAGTACCTGCATGAAGCTCAGACAATTTTTTTTTCACTATCATCATTGCTGGCACCACCAACCACCACATTATTAAAAGGCAATACAATATGACATGATTGTAGTAAATACTATTACTAGATTTTTTTTATTATTATTATTTTTTTTTTGCATTGCTATTTTTACCATAAATAGTCAACAGTTCCAAGAAACTTTGAGTGGTAGGAAGTAGCTAAAGGTTCACCATCAGAGTCCCTTGTTTTTGTAGATCCCTAAAAAATGCAAAAGGTAACAACTTTTATAAATTAGTACATAATTTGGGAAAAATGAAATGCCTGTCAAGGTGTGTAGCTGTAAAATCTCAATACCTTCACTGTGGCATAGGAGCTAATAAGTTTCAGAGGGTGCACAACTACTTGGCACTCAGCATTCCCTGTTGCAATTTTAACTTCTTCAACAGTCCAGCAACAGTTCACAAGTCTGAAATGAAGTATGATTAAGCATATGAATTTCTGTTTCTATACAAGAGAAAAAAATGGTATTTATGCTACCAAAGGAGTGGATAATAAATATGCAAAAGCTGGAACTTCAGCTATTTTGTGAGAGAAGGTTTTCAAGGCATAGGCAAGATGCCTCAATGGACTAAAATCAGTTAATGGCTCTGGATGTGATATTTATGCCCCTGTAATGAACCCTTTCACTATGTTAAATAGAAGATAAAGAAAATAATTATCAATTAATAAAATAAATGGAGACATGACAATTAAAAAAATTAAAAATCACAAGACATCAATTTTATGTCAAAAAAATGATAAATTCACCACTGTTTTTACAATGTTCGAAGATTGTGAATTTCCATGGGGTATCCTATCCTTTACCTCGTGGTGAATCCTATGATTAAGATATAAAAACCAGTTAATCGCACTCTAATTGCACGGTCCTCATTCATCCATCATATGTCGGTTATTGTCTCCTTAGAAATCAAGGGCACATAGAGGCACAAGCCCAAAACAGATCTCATTCAAGACGTCGTACTGCCAGCCTTTATGTTTTGTATTTTTATTTTATTTTTCAGAAGTACAAGCAACCGATTTTTTTTGCATTACAATGATTATAATATACTATTGAGTTTATGAAGCCATCCCACATGATGGAACAAAGCAAACTGAACCCCACTGAAATTGCATTAGGAAAATTCATTCCAGTCCACTTCTCAAGCCATGATTATTGACCTGTTCATATTAGTACAGGAACTGATTAATGATGTACCTGTCCGTCAAAACAAGAGGATTTCCCATTTCTTTTTTTACACCAAAAATTTGGGCAGGATGGCAACTTCTTTGACCTGACAACTCTCTTCTGTCATGTAACATGACATTCAGCTGCAAATAAGAAAAGCATATCCAATATCAAGCAAGCATCTTGCACAAGAAACCTGCAGTTTAATTTATGATGTGATAAAATTATTGGCAGTTTGGGACTATAAAATTTGGAGTTGTAGATCCAAGATAGAGTTACCTTAGATGATGACAAGAACTCGTAAATTCCGCTCTGTCAAATAGCAGATAAGTATTAATAATTTATCATTATAGGAAGCATTATCCCTTAGTAGTCATGAAAACTAGATAAACAAAGTTCTATATTTCACACCTGAGGAGTAGTGTTAAAATCACCAGCCAGCACAACAGGTATATTACCCCATTTCTCTGACAGGATATGTGCTCTTGATAAGAGGTAACGAAGCTGAGGATGGAATATTCCAATAGTAAAGCACACGAACAGGAACAAATCAATGTAGCACATTGAACTACTATGTAGAACAAGAAATTTTCCCAATTGAACATCATAGCATTGATGTGGTGGTCAGTACTTTGTCAAATAAGCCATGACCACTTTGCAAGCCCAAAACTCCCATGCCAATGAAGAAGTTAATTTGCCATTTGACATGAGAATAAACAAGATAATCTCCTCGATATTCTTTCGATACATCATGTGACTATAGCGTGTATAATTGTGGAAAGATGTACAGAAAATTTCAAACAACAGATCCACCCCAATGAACTAACAGGGAAAGATTCAGTAAATCTGAAACAATAGCCTGTTACAAAATAAATATGTAAATCACCTTATTTGAGGTTGATACCATAATAAATTTAGTTATTGCAAATTTAAGCATAGCAAATTGGGAATCTTAAGAGACTTACTTGACCTAGTTTAATATCTCCTCGGCTTGGGTTATAAAGCACATGAGTGTTCGCAATCAACAGTCTTTTTGACTCAGCTTTACACGTCTGCCTGTATCAGATGAAGTAAGATATGGGAATGATAGGTAGTATGATATTGAACAGCAGATAAAACAGTAAAGAACATGTTGAAACAAAGAGCAGGTGCAAATCTCGTGCAAATTATATTCAGAAATACAATTAACATACACGATACAACAGTTTTAATGCAATGCACTGTAACTATTAAGTATGAAGACGCCCTGACAGAATCCAATTTGCAATGTAGTTCAACTTAATGACACAAACCCAAAACACCCAGCACCTGACAGCTTAAGCAGCACCTGGGTGGGTAACACAATTTGTTTATAAGACCCAAAATCTAACTTCCATTCTGTTGAAATTAATACATATACATAAAAATGATTTGTTTAACTATTTTTTTAATGCATTTATAATATTACCGTTAATTTCAACATCTACCCAAAAAAGAGGAAGAAGAAGAAGAAGAAGAAGAAAGGCGCACCAATGGGCACAAATTAACTGTCTTTCCTAGCATGACCATAATTTTAATACTCGTTCAGTGTAATTAATGATACCAAAAAAGAGACATTCACTTGGAATATATATTTGCCTTCAAGAGCAGCTCTTTGCAGGCCACAACTAGTTTTTCTTTCAAAACACAGTTCAACATTTAGCAATTTAATTATGAAAAAAAAAAAACATTTAGCAATTTTAAGTGCACAACCATTCCATGATGTTATCATCTACATATCAATAATTCAAAGAAATTACTCTTTGAAGGAAAGAAGACGAATTGTAAAGAACATAATTTCTTGAATAAAGAAACGCTAATATCTAGGGTTCATAATATATGTCATCACTGCAAAATATTAGGTTAAATAGCATGACCAGGTAACTTGTACATACGGTACACTTCTATAACTTCTCAAGTGGTTGGTGTAGAGAAAAATGTTCTCCGTTAATCTTCCTAGTTCTTGTTGACTTTAAGATATAATCAAATCAAAAGTAAGTAATAAAGAAGAAGAAGAAAAAGAGAAGAAAGCGGATGAGAGAAAAAGAGAAAGAGATGGGGAAAGAGAGAAAGAATGAAAGAATACTTTCATCCTTCCACCACATTCTATTTATGATAACAAGTTTCAGAAATTACACATAAGCCCCAACACTATATAAGTAATAACAAATAAGCCCTTGACAACACTCCCCTCAAGCTAGTGCAAATTTATCTATCATGTCCAGCTTGACTAACATATTTTGCAAGCAAGTCTTGCTCACACCATTAGTCAAAACATCAACAACCTAATCATGTGTATTGATGTATGGAGTACAAATCAACCCAAGACGAAGCTTTTCCTTGATGAAGTGTCGATCGACTTCAATGTGCTTTATCCTGTCATGTTGAACTGGATTGTGGGCAATGCTAATAGCAGCCTTGTTGTCACAATACAACTCTATTGACTCGCGAATAGGATAACCCAACTCACCCAACATCGTACGTAGCCAAAACAACTCACAAACTCCATATGCCATGGATCTAAACTCAGCCTCTGCACTAGATCTAGCTACTACAAACTGTTTCTTGCTTCGCCATGAAACAAGATTACCTCCAACAAATGTGCAATATCCTGAAGTAGATCGTCGATCGGTCACAGACCCTGCCCAATCAGCATCAGTATAGGCTTCAACACGCAAGTGGCCATGACTGCCAAATAATATCCCCTTACCAGGTGAACCCTTGGGGTAGCAAAAAACATGATGAGCTGCCTCAAGGTGAGGTGTACGTGGAGCATGTATAAACTGACTAATCATACTAATAGAGTAGGCAATATCCAAGCGCGTGAGAGATAAGTAAATCAGTCTCCCAACCAATTGCTAAAATCTTCCCACATCATCTAATGGGTCTCCATCTACATCATTAAGCTTATGGTTTTGCTCAATGGGAATATCAATCGGTCTAGCTCCAAGCCTGCCTGTTTCAGCCAACAAATCTAACACATACTTCCGTTGAGAAATGAACACCCCTTTCTTCGATCTGCACACCTCGATGCCAAGAAAGTATCTCAATGATCCAAGGTCTTTAACCTCGAACTCTGTCCCCAAGAATGATTTCATTCGACAAATCTCTTCCGGATCATTTCCAATGATAACAATATCATCAACATATACAATAAGGGCAGTGGTGCAGCCTTGGTGCTTCTTGATGAAAAGAGTATGATTTGCCTGACTTTGTGTGTACCCTACTCTTTTTCACAGCGGTGCTGAACCTCTCAAACCAAGCACGTGGCGACTGCTTTAACCCATACAAAGCTTTATTCAGCTTGCACACTAAATTCTGACCATTATCAAGCTTAAATCCTGGTGGCATAGTCATATACACCTCTTCCTTTAAGTCACCATGAAGGAAAGCATTCTTTACATCCAGCTGATGTAAGGGCCAATTCAAATTAGCTGCCAAAGAAAGAAGAACACGTATAGAGTTCATCTTGGCAACTGGAGCAAATGTTTCCAGATAATCAATTCCATAGGTCTGAGTGAGGCCCTTTGCAACTAACTGAGCTTTTTATCTCTCAATTGTTCCGTCTGCATGACACTTTATTGTGTAGACCCATTTGCAGCCTACTGGTTTCTTACCCCTAGGTAATGGAACAATATCCCAAGTACCATTCTTCTCAAAGGCCTTCATTTCTTCAAGCATAGCTTTCTTCCATGGAGTTTAACTGAGAGCATCTGAAACACTAGAAGGAACAATACAGAGGAGATACACAAAGTGAAAGCACGATATGTTGGAGATAAGGCATCATAGGATACAAATTGAGATATGGGATGCTTTGTACAACTACAAACACCCTTAAGATAGGCAATAGGGACATGAAGATCAACTGGAATGCTATTAGGAAAAGAATCAGGAGTATCAATATCAACTAAGGAATTACCTGGATCGAAGGAGACTTCTTGGTCCTGGGGTGAGTCAAGAACTTGTTTTACCCTTCTAGTGTAGACAATTGGCTGCTTTCCCTGCTGCTAATCATTAATGTTAGGAGGACTAGACATAGGCACCTCAGTAAAAAGCTCCCCCTGAATGGGAATAGGCAAAGGAAGGGAGCATTCCCTCTGAATGGACAACGGATTCTCTACCTGTATGGTAGTCTCCCCCTGTAGAGAATCCCGAACAGTGGAAACAAAAAAAGGAACAAACTCAAAGAATGTAACATCCATGGGAGACAAAGCGACGACGAGTGGTAGGGTTATAACACCGATACCCTTTCTAAGTGGCGAAGTATCCAAGAAAGACACATCAGATTGCCTTAGGGTCCATTTTGTCCTTGCAATGATGAATGTGAACATAACAAACACAACCAAACACTTTTGGAGGGACAGTAAACAGGGCAGTGTCATGGTGTAAGACGGAGAAGGGAGATTGACAGCCAAGAACCTTAGAAGGCATGCGATTGATAAGGTATGTAGCTGTTAAGGTTGCATCAGCCCAATAACTTTTAGGCACTCCCATCCCAATTAGAAGAGAACGAGTCACCTCCGTAATATGACGGTGTTTTCTTTCAGCTATACCGTTCTGTTGTGGTGTATCAACACAAGAGGTTTGATGGACAATCCCGTTATCAGCAAGAAAAGGAGGCAAGACCACCATACATAAACTCTCCTCCATTATCAGATCGAAGGATTTTGAGAGGACAACCAAACTGAGTACATACCATCCTATGAAAGGTTTTAAAAATGGAATGAACGTCATCTTTGGTTTTCATAAGATAAAGCCAACTATATTGACTAAAGTCATCAACAAACACAACAAAGTAACGAAAACCAAGTAACGAACTAGTAGATTCAGGAACCCACACATCAGAATGAACAAGCTGCAAAGGAGCTTTATTTTTATTAATACAGGTAGGAAAAGAAACACGACATTGTTTGGCAAGAACGCATGTTTCACAATTTAATTCAAAAGATTCAACAGAAGCAAACTGGGGAAGCACATGCTTCAAAACAGGAAGAGGTAAATGACCTAGTCTATGATGTCATCGCATTAATAGATCTTTATTGACATTACTATTCCTAACACTAGATTGATTTGCAACATAATAAGAAGGTGGCCTCGCGTTCAGCAAATACAAGCCATTGTCCTCACGTCCACTTCCAATCGTCTTCCCCGTGTCCAAGTCCTGAAACACACAGTGAGATGGAAAAAAGGTTACACTACAATTCAAGCCTTTTGTAACGTGACTGACAGAAAGGAGGTTATTGGTAAACTTTGGGACATGAAGAACAGAGCATAAGGTAAGATTAGGAGAGGCAGAAACAGTACCCTTCCCGTAATGGAGGTGAAGGTGCCATCAGCTACTCTAACCTTATCCTTACCAGAACATAAACTGTACGAAGAAAAATCAGATGCCATACCAGTCATGTGATCAGTGGCTCCTTAATCAATGATCCAAGGTGGTCCACCAGATAATGTGGAAACCTGATGTGCCGAATGAGAGGTACCTGTCTGAGCGAAGTTAAAGGTGGGAACGGAGGAATGTTGTGCTAGTAGATGTCAGGGAGTATCAAGTTCAGCCCAGAATAAAGAACTCGGGGGCCCTGAGGAGGCATGACTAGTAGAAGTAGTCTCACGCTCTGTGGTATGTGTCGTAGATAACCCCCTAAATGGACCAGGCCTTGGCCTAACAGTCGCACTAGTAGGAGTTAGAGTAGGGCGACCCTGTAGATTCCAGCATGTTTCCCTAGTGTGGCGCGTACACCCACAGTGATCACACCTCAACTTGCTTTTGTCATCCTGTTTCCTTCCTTTTGGAAGATTGGCTTGTTCCATTGTTGTGTGGCAAAAGCAAACCTCTAAGACAATGGTACTCTAGGAAGCACGGACACTCCAAAAGAGGCAAAGAATCCATGTCCGATACGTGTCGGACACGGACACGCCCCGACACGTGTCGGATATGCCAAAAAACGTGTCTGGAATTTTTTATTTTTTTTTTAATTTTCGGACACGGCACAGACACTTCGCAGACACGCGTCTGACACGCCAGGGGTGTGTC